CTGCTGGATGGTAAAAATCAATGGCTGACACTGACACCAGCCCTGAATAACAGCAGTCCATCATCTCAACATAGCGGCATATTGTCGGCAAAGCTTTACTTTCTCCTGGGGAAACAGTGTGTGAACTCTAGTACTGTAGTGTTTTATATAGTATTTTTTGCAGGTAAATGGTCTGCAAAGGCTAAAATCCCAAAGGGAGTTTCTCTTCCACACTCTTCCTGCCTCCATTGGACTCCTTTGTTTACTTCCAGAACGACATCACTATGTAACACTTGTGCTTCTATTGGCTAGCGCTCCAACACATTGTACGTAGTAGGATAAGGGCGGGACATCTCTAAGCAACTGTCGATCAGCTAACCAATCAGAACAGTCTGTGCTCTGGTATCTGTTGGGAAAATAGTGAATGTACTTTTCTAATATCAGAGTAGCACATGATAACAAAGGCCCTACGTAGCTGTGTACGTAACCGGATGTATGATTACCTAGAAGAGCATCAGGGCACACTGTTGTAGGCATACAGCTATGTGACAACGATTAACATGATGATTCAGCCTCTATGGAGATAGACATATGACTGTAATGTTTTTTGCTTACGCAGGCCTTAGCTAATCTGAACTAAGGCCAGAATACTGCTTTGAACCAGTATTCTTGCATCTTGTGACTGTAACACCCTCTCTTGTATATAAGGTATGTCAAGGACACTATTCGGGGAACTATTTTGTCCCATGCAACCTCTGTATGTGATGACTACTTCCATTCTTGCAGGGATAATAAATACATGTATCCTGATATTGAAAATCAAGCCGGTGATGAGTGATATTTTTCCTAACAGTTTCAGACAGAGGAAAAGAGGTGCTGCAGCACAGGCAGTATTGCAGGAGGTGGAGATTAACGAGATTAGCGACAACATTATCGGTTGACCAAGGTCCGGGTGAAATGAGATAGCTAAAAGTGGACAAGAGAAGACACCCACCCTTTGCACTCTTCATTAATCCACATTTGGCAGCTGTGTGTACACGCTTTCACCCACCCCGAGGGCAACATCACACCCATTCTTCACCACGTTCTCACCCTCACCATCATCACCTCAACCTGTTAACCCCACACGCTTATGTTGAGACCTCCAGAAAACTCACCACTGCATCACATCCTTTCCTTCCTTTATAATCCCAGCACAGTCAGATTATAGTTTTCGCTTCTTCAGCAAACAGACAAAGGGGCCAAGAGGTTGTTGTTAGATTACGAGAGGCTGATACAATATTCCCCACATTAGAGCAGATCAATCTTAATACTGCTAAGCTTTAACCAAAAGGGTGGGAGGGCATGGATAACACAGATTTCTACATGAGCGCACTCTGAACACACACATGGGATGATGTCAGCTGAATTGGGACGCACTTACAACAAAATACCCCTGTGGGGATAAACACTTTTGATTTGTGACCCTATAAAGATGCCAGCATGACAGGAGGTGTGATGCCCCGTTGCACTTGTGAATGCACAAGAGAAATACTAAGAAACATATTTTAAATTAGTATGTGTTTGATAGTTGCTTATTTTTTAGTAAGAAGAGTGACACCACAAACTAATATGAAGCTAGGGCTAGTGTGGCTTAGTACACAAACTGGTAATAACCAAATACTTTTTTTTTTGTAAGTTTTTATTCATTTTGAATATGTTTTTTGTTAATGCACCATGGCACAAAAGCAAATCCATGTCACTGTCTAACCTGACATTGATTATCAGCCAATCTTCTAGCTAAATGTAATTGTGTATGTATATTTTATATTCTATCCTACTCTTCAAAGCTAAATGTGTTGTTTCAGTTAACTGCTTGAAGAATGACTGTGATACTTTCTCTATACTACACTATGCTGTTGTTGTTTTGGGAAATAGCCATTGAGTGCTTTGAGTCCTAATGGATCTGCCTTGATGACCCTTTGTTAGAGGGCTGGGCCAAGTATTGATCAGAAACTTAGGTTCACTGAAAGCACTCAGAGTAGTTTACATTAAAAGGTCAGGGGGAAAAAACTGCTTCTGATCAAGAGAAGATGAGTTTTTGTTTAGATTTGATTTGTCTTAAAGACCAATATGTCAAACTGCTGAACAGGATGTTTTCATGAGCAACCTAACTGTGATTTCCCCATGTTATAAAAAAATAAAAACACAAGCAAAAACATTTAAAATATCTTTAATCATTGGATAAGCTTGTGTAATTGACATACTGCATAATATAATTCTCCACATTTATGAACATTGTCAGTTATTTGTTAAACATTTCCACTTCACAAAAAAAGAAATAACCTTTTTCTCTGACAGATTGCATAACAAAATAATAAAAATACATCCTGCCATGGATAAAAACCACATTCCACTCACTCAAGCAAGGTATTGATCGGGCTGATCCAGTGGACTGCAGTCAGTCTCTCTGGCTTTTATCATTCAATCGTCTAAGCTTTGTGTTGCCTTAGTAAAGTTGTTCATCCGGCTCAGAGCCCGGTGTGCACTCAGTGGGGTTTATTCCAATTTACTTCTATTTCTTTGAGGAGTTTGGGATGTGAACAAAACCCTCACTGGGAAAAATACGATTCAAGGAAAGGAAAGGCCTAATGGCTCTCTTTGAGGAGTTGTCAGGTACCAAGAGACCCACGTCAGTCCTGGGACACATTGTGCATGTGTGTGTTTGTGTATGTACCAGAGGAAGGAAGAAAACAGCAGGACACCGGGAGTGGAAGCTTCCTTTTAGCTGCATGCTGTGTGCATTGCTGCTTAGCTCACTTTTTATCCCTTTATTCTGCCTCCAGGTAGACACAACAGTCTGTCCTTTCGCTTCTACAACATGGCCAAAGCATGCAGTAAAAGGGCTCTTGACAGTATGTTAGGTGGTTTATAGAAAAGATGGCTGAGCTGCGTGCTAATGCAGAACAGAGCAGTGGTGAGTATGAGAATGAGGAACAAAAAAGGCTTGATGGAAAGGGATTTACTTTGCCATGTTGTGCTGCTATCAAAATGAAAATGTGTCTTAATTTGGTGAATTCCTGATATCTCGAGGAACATGTTTTTAATCTGAAGCTTTTGCCACCATTTGATTTCTCACTCAAGGTCTGTCAATACAGTTAACCACTCCCTTTACAAATTATATTTTATTACAATAGAAAAGGTATTGTTTTTAGCCCCCTTTTTTACTTTGCCGAGTGCATAACAATTACAAATGTTTTCTATTTTCCTAACTTTGTTGACAGTCACCAAGCTTTATACAAGCTTTTTTATTAAAATACTGAGCTTTCAACTGTGACTTTTCCAAGTTGTTTATTAGAAAAGTATCATAGTATTTATGGCATCACTGTTATTAAACCATGATTTAATGGTTAATGTTACAATGCGTCTCATCTTCTTCATCTACCCTGCTATGATTCAGACAGTACTGTTACACAGACACGAGCAGTAAACACTGTTTTATGCCACCACTAGAGGTGAAGCCTGCCCGCTCTCATTGTCATGGCAACCGTGTGGATAACCACTCGTCTATGTAATGCCGTTTGTCTTGCTGCCCAGAATAGCTGGAGGGTGCCTGGCACCTAGAGCCAAGGCAAACACACCACACACTGGCCATCTGATACATGCTGGACATCATAAAAAGAAGTTGGTAAGATTTCAGAGAGTAAGCGTGCTACGTTGTGTTTTCCTCCGTAACCTAAGAAATACTGGAAAGCTTTAAATGATATGTATTTGTTGCACATATGCCAGCTAGTAAATCTTCCAATTGTATCCATGCACATAGCAGCTTTTATCCCTCTTTCAAAAACAATCATGCCACAAGCGATGTTTCCTGGCACCTATACTGTACGCAATGTAATCTCCGCCAAAGAGCGGTTTAAAACATATTCTTATGTTAAACTGGAAAACACATGACATCTTGGGCTTCAGTGAACCTTCACAGAGACACACTACAGCTTGACGTAATGTGTTTTACAGGTTTGATCCCTGTGCTATAATGTTTTTTCCCTCCATATGGCAAATTTGGAAAGAAAACCACAAACTAGCAGGGCAGACAGTCTCTTTGGCATGAGGTGTTGCTTTACAGCCAACACATTATGTTAAAAAAGGGAAGAGGTTTCAAATGACTTCATGTCAGAGGCTGTATGATATACCATGGTTGAAAATACTTATCCAGCTATGAGTAGATATACTTATTTTTGTGGTTCAAGAAAAATTGGTTTTAAATTGTTTTAAATCATTTAAGAGTTCAAGGTCCAGTTGGAGCACAGTTTTTCTTTCCTGTCTCCAGCACTGGCCTCCAGTGGCTGTTTCTGTGGTGCTGGCTTTATGGTGCTGTCTCAAAGCCAGAGGGCATTGTGTGAGCATGATGTGTGTGTTGGCACAGACCAAGCTTTTCCATTGAACCAGTGTGGTGTGGAAAGTGGGAAAAGAAAGGCAATATAAAGAGAGAGGAAACACTTAAATGGCTCAAAAAAATAGAGATACTGAGTTTAACATCTTACTGTAGCTGGCCTTTAAGATGTATTGACAGTGAGATCTGGCAGAAAGAGGATTGATCAGATGGACTGGCTAGTTACATGTTGTTTTAAGCAAACATGAGGAAAAGAGACAGATCAACAATTTACTAAATCCATCTCCAAACTAGGTATGACAGGCCCGGTTTGTATTCTCCACATGTTGAAATGTATGTGTTTAATCCATTGTAATTATTGTCGCTCTACCCCTGCAGCATTAACCTGACTAACTGCTGACTGGTAGGAGATGTTGTAATACTGTGATGAATGAACTAAAACCGTTGGAGACTTGTCTATTCTTATCCAAACCTCAGTCACTGAAGAGTCACACACACACACACACACACACACACACACACACACACACACACACACACACACACACACACACACACACACACACACACACACACACACACACTGAAGGGCACACGCGCGCGCACACACACACACACACACACACACACACACACACACACACACACACACACACACACACACACACACACACACACACACCCTCTCCCTCTCCCTAACAGTAGTCTTGGAAACTCCTGAAGAACGGATGATAATATTAGATTTGAGAAGAGGTTGCTTATATAAGCCACTAGAAAGGCTTCAAGAAATATTGCTGTTCTTCTCTGATTGTTTTAGGTCTTCCACACATTTCTCAAGATACAACCAATAAAGCTCTCACCACAGCATGCAATATCCTCCGAGCCAACATAACGCATTTACCAGTCAACGCTCACATGGCGAGAGCACACAGACTGGTGGTCATTTGTACACGCAAGCAAGAGGCAAAAAATAATAAAAGGAGTACAAAGACTCAGATTATCATAACAGCAGTGCAGTCATCTCAGGAGGGAAAGGTACAGGCATATGCAGTTAAGGTTTACACCAATCAGGCACAACATCAGCTTAGAAAAACGTACACAGGTAACCATAAAGATTACAATTAAAAATTCAGCCATATTTAGTATTTGCCTACAACCAATTACGACTAGTACCTGATGCACAGAGTAGCTGTATTGCGATTTAAGGAACATACAATATTGCAAATGATTGGATAAGCACTGAAGGTATTTAGCTTCACAAAGACACAAATTAGTACATTATTTCTCAATAAGGGAAACCTTCACTAACCTCAGTGCTCTGTGTTCTATATTAATGTCTTCTACTTTTTCACAGGCAGCAACACGTTCGAAGAAACAAGCTTTAATATTCAGGTTTTGTTAACAATGTATTAAGTAATACTGTATATGACCATCAAGTGCTTAGTTATATTGTCTAAGACAACCTATTTGTAGCATCAATTACATTTCTGACTAAAAGAAGAAGGGAAAACTTTGGTCTTCTATTAATGTTCATGCAGTACAATCGTCTTTATTAGTGCCATCGGACTTATAGGCCCATCCCTTGACATATAAAGTGATTAAGGAGATCCCAGAGCAATATTCTTTGAGGGGTATGTGTAAATAAATTGTAGTTTATGGGATTTTTTGGGGGGGAATAAAAAGTCTAATTATAATTAAAATCTTTTAATTTACACAGGTTATATGTTTCAGTTCTCCGGCAGGTCATCATACTGTGCTTTAGAAAATAAAAAAAAATTGGGGGGGGAAATAAATACCCTGAGAAAAACTAGGACAAAGGATTTCAAAATTGTCTTGTCTGAATTTTTCTTAGGCAGCCCTGTTTGGCTATATTATGTTCAAAATCCTGAAATGTGCATCCAGCATAATACTGACATCAATGTTTCATAGAAAGTTAGTGCAGTCACAGGAGGGCACAACAAACCCAGTGTCTGTCAACAAGGAAAGCCTTGCTGGGTTTCATACATCAGCAGTTCACTCTTCTTCTGCTATCCTTCAGGGATCTGGTCAATACATTTTCAGAGGGGTGTTCAATAGTGGCTTTAGTCCCCTCTGTCATTATCCCTCCCTCTACAAAAACGTCACATCTTCTTGCGACTGCACCCATCGCCAGTGCGAGTCATACTCTAGATGCATTTTGCCGTTCATTTTGCAAGTATCCAAGTCGATCGTTCCATTTTTGTAAGGTTTGAGTTTGGGGCTCTGGTTGGTTCCCAGTTTCTCGTTGAGGCTTGGGCGCATTGGGCGGGTTGGGCTGCCTGTCTGCACGTTTGGTTTCTCCAAGACGGCATTAGCCTTGATGACTTGAGTATGGTTATTGGCCTTAGGAACTGGGCTTTCTTTATCGATCTCAGAAGCCTTCGTCCAAACCGGAGCGTCTTGTTTGGGGCCTTCAGGCTTGGCTTGGGAAAAGGTTAATGGAAAAGCTGGTTTCCCATTTCCGACCCCAGTTCCATTTTCATTTACCACAGTCCTGACTCCCACAGCCCCAGAAACAGAACCAGGTGCAGTGACCGTGGCCCCGGGGCCTCCCACTGTCCGGCCCGCAGCAGTAGCCTCTGAGACCATTGGGGTGGTGGAGCAGATGACCAACTCCGAGCTGGAGGGGCAATACTCGTCCATGTCATCCGCCAAGGTGTCCAGGTAGCTGCCGATGGAGATGTTATCCAGCTTGTCGTTGGGGTCCTGCAGGCTACTCCAGGAGCCTCTCCACGAGGTGTCAGGGCCCTCACCCAAGCTGTACTGGCTGCTGGTCAGGCTGCTGCAGCGGCTTGTGAGCGTGCTGCGCTCCTCCAGCAGCCATTTCACCGCCTCGATGCCTTCATGGACCGCCAGCAACTGCTGCAAGATCTTCACGTCCACTGAGCGCAAGTGAGCCTGCGGAGTAAAGGAGAAGTGGGTTAATTTACAAAGTTTATGACTATTTTTATGGTGTTATCAAAACATGAAGTTCGTGTTTAGATAGTCTGCAGTTTGCAACAGGGAAAACATTTTCTTTATGGGAGCCAAACAAACCAACCCGGGGAACCACAAGGACTCTGCAGATATTTATTTTAGGCATTCAACTTTGGCTCCACAGGCGTTTGCAAACACCATTATAATGCTATTAAACCTTAACAGATTACCATAATTGGAAGTAAAGTATAACAGAAGCTGGCAGGTCCAGTATACCCAGCAACCAGGAAACAAATAAGGGGAGGTAAAGGGAAGAAGCCAAGAGACAGAATTAGAAGAGAACAGAACTAACTCCTCAGAAAAGCTGTTGAGTGATGGAAGTTACAGTGGAAAGACATAAGATCAAGGGAAGAAAAATCTTTACAAATATGTCTAAATGCCCTGTAAATGGTGCAGAAATAGTCAAACCTTTATTTAGTCATGATATCATCTGTTGTTATAAATGAAGTAATGATTAATAAGAATCTAAAATGAAGTGTGTGTGTAGGAGGTTGAAAAAGCTAAACGATGAAAAAGAGGGAAAAGACGGCTGTCATGGAAAATCCCTCCCCAGAATACATCAGCAGAGGTCTGCGGTGAGGTGATATATGGCACCGACATTCAGAGCTACCCACCCCTCTCTGCAGATTAGCAGCCTCCTTCAAACCTTAAGCCTTAGTCTTTCAGTATCTCTGTTTCCTCGACGTTGCAATGTTTCTCCTGGTTATTTCGTTGCTAACTGTGACCCAACAGTTTCTATCTTTTTCAAGGCTACTGTAGCGCCATTTTTCTTTAGTCACTAAAATGTATAGTTTATAAAAAGCATACACTACCATGTCTTACATTATGTTGTTTTGTTTGTCTCAGATAATTAATCAGACAGGTTTCATACATAATCACACCTAAAATATGTACATGTTATATGTTCTGTTATTCCCAGAAGTACAAATGATCATGAATGAAAGATGTAAAATGAATCGGTTACAAGTAAAAAGACAAAAAAAAGCGTAATTTTTTAAGTAACTAGTACCTTACTCTAAATGAAATATTTTTACAGTCAGATAAAATATAAAAACATTGCATGTTCAGGCCAAATAAATGTAAAGCATTACTGTATAGATTCTTATAGTGTGTAAGAAGACATCAAATCATTTCACAGTTGTAAATGTGGTAAAATAACACAAACTGTAAGTGCATGGTCAGAAAACTGCACGGAAAGCGGATTTCCAATGTTAGATGCAGGGACCTGAAAGACCTTTGCTCTCTGACCTTTAGGAGTCTCTCTTATTTCCTTATGACCATCCATGTTGTGTCAATAAAACAGTGGGCAGAGACATATTGATTCTTAAAAGCTGCCAGGCTAACCCTAACCCTATCTCTTGGTCGTGCATAATGTCAGCAGCAGTTTTCTTTAATGATCCCCAAAACATCAAAAATAAAACCTCTCCCTGTCAGTGTGTTTAAGAGCCTGAGACTCTTCCATGTACAAGAAAAGCTGTGTAAAATAACAAGTTTTGCTTTTTCGTTGGAAATATTGGCTGCATTGACCTCTTATTGCCTCTATAAATCCTTTAAATGATGCAATCAGAGAAAGATAGCACTTCACTTTTACGTAAATTTAGTATGTGAAGGTGGGATCGTCTTACATACAGCCCACTACGTTACCCATGCCATATGGCTACATCATAAACTCAAACACTGTTACTTCATCAGATTGCCTTACACTTTGTAATGGGCTGTTTGTGGGGCTTGTGAGGACATAGACTTACCCAAAACCTTAAACCATAACCACTACATGCCAAACCTTAGCCAAACCTAAGCCAAAGCAAGACTTTAATTTGAACCAAAAACAAAGTGTTCATTCAAAATGAAATACATGATGAAGATAGTGGAAACTAGCTTTCTGTCTTACAATGCAGGAAGAGTCCCAACAAAACCTCTCTTTTCAGACTACACCTCCAGAACCGCCGCTTGGGGAGAGTTGAACTTTTAACTTTTTGGCTTTTAGATTGGATGCATTTACTTATACCAAAGTGTGTGCCAGAGGATTGTAATCCAACAATGTGATGGTGGGAAAATATATTTGTCTCAAAATCAATAAATACAGGAACACACAAAGATATGCAAACATAATTCTGAATGCATGAATGGATAAGAAGGAGCTATGTGGTCAATGTGGTGCAGATCTGCTGATGCCAAACTCACACTGTAGGCCAACTACAACTGGCAGAGACAGCTTAAACAGGAAATTAAGGAATAGTCAGATAAATGAGAGGCAAAACCTCAAGATACAGATAAAGATATTTTCATCTGCTTATTCATAGCGTCAGTCCACCTCTACTGTACAAGAAAAAAATAAAAGCACACATTGCAGTGAGGGGTGCCACATCTGTCTTTTTGTGTGGCTGTTAACCAGTTGGCGTCCCGGGAACAGTCAGACATTTGGGGTGGGGTTCAGGTTTGAGGTTTTATGAAGCTGGCAGAGACTGAGTGCCTAATGAGGGTGGCAGTAAAAGTAGCTCCGTGTCTGTCAGCGCTGAGGTGGCACAATGCTAATGCAATGCTCTAGTCTGTGCTCACTCGGTTGCTGAGCTGTCTGATAATATAGATAGATTCATGGTTGCTCTCAAACTGCAGTGTACCATTCATTCTCCTTTAGGCTGCATTTTACAGAAAGACCGTAGAAATTGATCTGTATCCTAACTAAACCTACATTTAAACATTTGACATGCATGTAAAAGTAAATGATAAAAAAAGTCTCTAAGTAAATTAAAAGAAAAATGAACTAAAATGTAGGGATGGTAATCTGCTGATTTTTTTTTTAAATAACTTTGTTCTATAAAATGTTGGGTTGGTTATAAATCTGGAAATCAATATTGTAAAATATAAAGATAAGATTTATTTTTTTGTTAAATGAAGATATGTAAATATTTCTATTATACATGCCAACAGTGGAAACTGTTCAGTTCACATGCATGCCAACTGTGATGTATTGCTTGTTATGCTACAGAAATGATTTGATGTTTTTATTATTTAAGGATTTTTTAGAGCCATTAATTATAGGATGAGCTCATTATGGAGATGTCCCACCTGAATGAAAAAGGTCAATCTGGAACCAAAACGTTTTTATATTTCACAATCATGATGAGAGCAGGAAGAGGTCAAGCAGGTCTTTTGAAGCCCTAAAACACACATTAATCATCCTTTTTTTTTTCATGTTTAGGCCATCATTACACGGCCAAACAGATTTTAGTTTCCCTGCTCAGGCATGAAGCCAAGCACCCCCCGGCTGATCCATAGGATTCTGGAAAGCTCCTTTTCTTGCTTTTTATATCTGGTACAGAACTGTATGAGTAATGCAAACAATATTCAGCTATAAATGTTCTCTATTGAAGTGACCTTTACTGTAATGCTGTTCAAAAGATGAACTTCAGCTTTTGTTCCCAGATATTTTTTGTCAGCATAAATAGTTTTCAAATAACACATGGCCTGTTAATAACTCCTTATCTTAGATAATTCAAAAGATATAATTAAGGTTTTATTTTTGTATGTCCGGAAAACATTTGAATCTTGGATGATATAAGTGTTGGCTTCTTTACAGCGAGTCTTGGCGTAGTGCTTGTGTTTCTTGCTATCTTCATTGTTGACAACTCATCTGTTAAAACACCAAAAATAAAACCCTAGCTTGTAATAAACCAAAATCATGCCTTAAGTTGAATTTGATGTGTTATGTTAGACCATTTTTTCATCATTCTGCAAAATGAAGTAGCAATGTGAATCTGATCAGATCATCCTCTCTATTAGACTTAACTATGAGAGTCTGAACACAGATGCAGTCATGATACGTCACACTGTGATAACTTATGCACAGCTGAATTGTGATGCATGACGCAGAGTCTCCCATGTGGGCAACAGCCTTCCAATGACACACAGCTACAGACTGCTGAATCACTGCCAGCAGGCGCAGCACAAACACACACTCGTTCCCTCGTACACCAGCAAAATAAACACTGGTCTCTCTCTCTCTCTCATGTCCCCTGATGTCAGTGAGTTGTTTCACCTTCCCAATCAAACTCTGCGGAAATATGGCAACCTTGCAGAGTCCCTACAGTCTCAATAGACAGCAGCAGGTCGGCCCCGTCTCACCGTAAACCTCCAACTGCTCCATCTGTCTGCATTCACCTTCAAATGATCTGTTAAATATCCACACATTTGTTGATGTCTTATTTCCTCTCACATGCCTCTGTCGATCAAAGCATTGTTCAATCTGTTTTTGTGACATTGTGTGTCATTTGTGACAAATTTATTGCTTCCCTTTAGAAAAACCAAACATGTGAGCATAGCCCAGCAGCAATCACATTTCTATTTCAAAAAATATTGATGTAATGGTCTCAGTACATTTGTCAACAATTTAATTAGAATAAGTATTTAAGGAGATAGTCAGTTGGCAGATAGAAGACTGAGATTAAACAGACTTTGAGATTGTGATCCTCTAGAGCTCAGCTAGTCACTTAAAGCTGACTTTGCAATGTCATTCATCTGCCCAGAGGTGAAAGACAGAGATAGAGAACGACATAGAAAAGCTTCAGAAAGAGACAAGAAGAAATGAACAAAAAAGGAATAATGTCATACCCCGAGCAATAACACTCTATTCAGCCTGTATGTCTCCCTTTGAGAGCTGAAATATAGGTGGAGATCATGCATAAAAGGAACAACGATACAAAAGGCACTCTGTGTGTGTGTGTGTGTGTGTGTGCGTGTGTGCGTGCGTGCGTGCGTGCGTGCGTGTGTGCCATTCTTATTCGGTTTTAAAGGAGTGTCTCTGTATTCAGTAAATCTGTTTACATCAGAGGAGAGTGTGTCTTCCATTAGGCAGCTGGAGACAAATGCACAAGACAGAAGCTGTAAAACAGAGATCGACAGCAACACTAAAATTAACAATGAATATTAAGTAACAATATTTATTTTAGTTCAGCTCACAGTGCTGCAAAATGTTCCCTACCATACTGAGTCACAATCATCAGAAAAGCGTGTCTGTACAGTTTACAGGCTACATGTCCGCAGACGGACTAAAGCCAGATAACAGACAGCTAAGAAGATCAAACCGAAAGCCTTCTCACTAATGAAGTACTCTCTCTGTATGTGTGAACTCTTATCTGGTTCTGTTTTTATACATAAGGGTTTCCTGCTTTTATTGTTGAATATCATGCATAGTTAGAGAAATGTCCAATGTACAAGACAAGCAAATTAAAGACATCCTATTACAGAAATTGTAGTAGTTTTTACTGTTTTCTGAAATGTTATAGACTAAAAGATTAATGGTAATGGATGATTTGGTGATGTATCAAAAGCAATCTGCACTAGATCGTCAAAATGGATTGGGTGTATCCTTGAAGTCTGACAAACGTGTTGTTTGTATTCTCATTTGCTTACGACTAGTGATCTTCTTCCCTGCCTATTGCTTTTGCATAGCTACGTATGTTTTTTGCTGTCACCATGTTGATTAATGAAAATACTGCAACCTACACTAGGTCATTTCACCACCTGGCAAACAAAATGGGTCAAAACTTTTTGAAAATTGCTTCATAGCATTGCTCGTGGTACAAACCTAAAAGCTTGACTACCATTTATTAACTGTGGTTGAGGGATGTGTTTTTGCTGTGTGAAGTTACATAACATTTGAAGGCAGTGTCTTTCTTTCAGTGTAACAAGGAGTGGAGACAGTTAACAAGAAACAGAGCATCATATCATTAGTGATGGTGACACTAATACTCCGCCCACAAATACACACACAGACATTTAAAGAAAAATCCTCGATCTCACAGCAGACGGATGCTGCAGTCTGCCATCACCATGCTGTGTGGTTACAGTAAAGTAACAGATGAGTCATGATTCTAAAAACTGACCACACACACAAAATCAAATAAATGCACATAGTATGCTGTATGCTTATGTTGATATGGGCCTAATAGCTTAATTACATACAGTTAGACAGAAAGTATTCAGCATCAGAAAGAGTGGAAGAAAAACACGTGCAGATTAAATATGCAACGCGCATGAGTGTAGATGTGAGCTTTTCCATTTAGCATTAATCTGCAGAGACTCTGCACATCTTACTAAGCAGATTTCAGATGAAAGTGCAACAACACTGATTCTGCACTCCCTTTACACCTCACCACTCTCATAGATGAATGAAGCAATCACACACATACACATTCTCACACACACACACACTCTCTATTTCTCTCTTTATGCTGGAAGTTTCAGGAAGTGGCTCTTTAACACAACTTTCTCAGTCCTCCCTTCTTTGAAGCAGACCTAAATAATGGCTAAAATTGTTAAGTCCTGCACTCTGCCCTCAACGGATTCATACAATATCTCTAGATGATTTATGAATCGAAATTGGAAACTGCTGGCTATGGAGTCTGTTACAACAATTATGTTGGCTTTGATATGCCTAATTATTGTCATCATTTGCGATTGAATGAATAGGTTCATGGAATGTTTGGGACTTAATTTAGTGTCTGGTCTGATGTTGACAAAACTAGGAGGGATGGTGTCACTAAATGAATCCAAACTAATGCCATGCATCCTATTCAGAATTGTGATGTCACTGTAAAGGTTCGACCTCCAACTCTACAAACGTGTATTTACCAGAAGACCTTTGGACAATGGAGTCTTTTGGGACCTTGAATTTGGTGGCAACACAAACAAATAATGTATTGCAAAAATGTTGATTAAGAAATATATTAACAGAAGATGTGATAAAGGCACAGACATTTCTCTAGACACTGGCGCCTGGTTTTAATAAGCTGAAATGTAAAACGCTTATGGTAATTTATTATGCATCACCATATTAATGAATAAAACACCATTTGATACACAATGTGACATGCAGTATATTTGCCTGAAATGCCCATGCACAAATGTAAACCACTTAAATGCAAGGTATTGGAACAGAGGCCAAATGGTAGCTATAAGCCCACATTACATAAAGTGCATCTGATGAAGTTAATGGAGAGAGAGTATTCCCTTTTTAGGAGTCTCCAGACCTCTAAACAGCATCTGGGCTTCATGAGCTGGCATTGCTGTAACGCTGATGGGAAATTAGTTTATGCTTCTACCATGTGACAAAAACTGATGTTGATGTTTGAATGTTTCCAATGTTTGGAGCAATTCACTCAGACAGCCTGCTTTGTTTGGTAGTTTGGTGGTGGGGCATGTGCTCCGTTTTACAACCATAGGAATGTATGACATACATGATCACAGAACAGTTTAGTGGTGCATTATTGCTGAGAACCTCCACTGTTTAGATGAGAAGGGGTATGTGTAAACAAGTGAGGGACTTGTTTTTTTTAATGGAACAAATTGACCACTGCTAAACAAGAAATAACCTGCTGTCAAAACACAGTATAGCCTTGGCTGGAAAAAAGTTTGTTTTTGAAGCTTCTTCATGTAATTAAATTATAAAATATGTCAAATACAAAATGAGATTTTCAAACAATACATTACTTTAACTAATATATACGTCAAAGGATCCATGTACCAATATGTCAGACCAAAAGTAAGTCCAAGTATGTATACAAATTGGTGACATAGTTGAGAAAAAGCATAAATCTATATCAATGTATGAATTGGAGTTGGAGAGTCAACCCTCTGACAAAACACAGACTGTGGGTTCATCATATTTTTAGCTGGCTTTAGTGGTCAACCACTTTTCTACCAACCACAACCATATTAATTAAAGACATCCAATGACAAATGTCTCTGATAAATTTCATACAGTGGCCTCGATAGAAATATTCTTAACATTGAAAGTGTCTGATTCTTAGAAAAATTAATTGCATTAGCCTAACCTACAACAATGGTAAACTGGGTTTGAGGTCATTTAGATTAACAGGGTAAATGTGTCCACCAGAGAGCAGCTACAGGATGACCTCTCAGGACGTATCTCGGTCTTCTCATTAACTGAAAAAAAGAAATCTCAGGGATCAGTCTGAAAATCATTGGAATATTTTATATAAAGATAAAAACCTTTGGTATTCGTGGTTTACAAGATATGCTTGCAGTCAGAAAATGTCACTATAATATGTTATCATAAACATTTTTACAGATATTTTTGAGTCAAATAGAATAATTAACCATCCCTCTCGCATGATAAACTGATCAGCTGATTTATGTTTACATATTTACAACAACAGAGTCCAGTGGAGCAGGGCAGCTGGTTCAAATTCCTAATCAATATGATATCTCAATATGGGGACTTCATTAAATGCCACATCCTAGAACACAAGAGCCTGGGACACGCGCACGCGTACACACACAAACACCCACATACACACACACGCGCGCGCGCGGTCGATCAGAGTACTCTCACCATCTCCAGCTTCAATTTCCTGATCTTGTCATCCAAACTCTTCCTGCCCGTCTCCTCACTGGTGTCGTGCGCGGTGGCCAGCTTGGCATCTCCCCGGTGAGAAGATGCCTCCTCCCGCATCCACCTGAGCAAACCCTCGGGGGTCTTCCGGCCGATTTTCACCTCTATGTCTTTCAGATCTGGGACTGTCTCGCCGGCAGTGCCTTCGTCCATTGTGTTCGTTTGTTTAAACAGAAAATATCCGCAAGATTACGTCCTTTTTGTTTCTTTGAAATGTTTGCGTGTCAAGCTTGGAGTCACCTACTTTAGGATTGCATGGCATCCTATGCGTCTCCAGCTGAGTTACACTGCGCAAGGAGAGAAAAACAACCTGACAGCATCACCACAACATAGTGTGGTTATCCTAGCAGAAAACTGCTTAAAGAAATGTTTGATTTAGCTATAATGTATGGTAAAAACTGATTAAGCCCGCATCTTTAAACAAACCGATGATCACCAAGTGTAAGCAGAAACAAAAAGTGTTCAGTTTTTTTCGAGTGTTGTTAATAGGTCCTCCACATTAGTAAATGCAGCCAGAGCCCCAGAGTCCAGTGTCCGGTGTGTGAGCGCTGCAGACCGGGTATCTGTCTGCTTGGAGGTCCCTACGCTGAGCTACATTGCGCAGATTCCACCTGCATGATGACAGCGACCAGCAGCCGCAGAGTTGGAGAGCCCAGACTGTCAAGTCAGGTGGGTAATATCGTAGAGCTTCCGGTACAACCTTCAAAATAAAACATCCACAAAGAAACACTGACTATCTTGAACTACCAGTCCGTCTACATTCGTATACATTGCTTTTCTTTCTCAACCCGGCAAACAGAAATGCAAGAGCAATGCAACTTCGTTTTTTTCTGTGGCGAGGCGCGGAGCGGAACTCTCGGTAGTAATTTCAAAATAAAAGTACCCGCTTGGTAAAGTTTTTGGATATTGTGGGAATAACTGGGACAAACTTCGATACGTGCTACACAAAAAACTTCCTGGATTAGTCGACCCACACTCCGAAGCTTCGGTACAGCAGTAACGTCATCACTAGTTAAAAAAAAATGCTTTTAATGTGGACCGATTCTCCAGGAACAAGTGGTTAACTTGGTTAGCTTGTCAGTGTTTGTTGCTCCCTGTGTGTATCATTAGGAGGGGATTGTTACAGGCTTTCAGGATCTCTCCAACATCCTTCTGACAGAAGATTACCAAACATAGCAGAAGCCAGGCAAAGTTTGGCAAACATAGCTAATGTTACCCAACCATACAGCCATGGAATGGAGCCGTTTAACAGCAAATTGAGGATGCCATGTCTGTTTTAAAGTAAACTGTCTGTGGTTTATCTTGTTCTACTAACGCCCCTGTTCCATCATTAGCAGACTTGTCAACCTTGCTCTACACACAGATTAAACCAACATCATGGAATCAATCAACTCAGATCTGAACAGGTAAACAAATGTTAGAATCAAGCCTGTGATTCGTATCATAAATCAAGTTTAGTTTTACAACCCTAATTTTCTTGCTTACACCCATTTCTACTGTAAAGAAAATATATCCGGCCAATAATACATCTTTCAATTCAAATTAAGCTGTTTCCAGTTGCATAGATTTCTGTTGCAGGTGATTTTAAAATCAAACCTTTTAAATTGCTAATTTGGGAAAAATCTGAAAACTGGATTTCCGATCAATTTGTTCAGAAGAAGACATTTAAATCCAGCAGAGTCCCTGTAGAGGTGGGATGGGTGAAGAGTCAAATCAGTGTAATGAAGCATGACAGATATGTCTGTTTTTAAGAATTTCACACTACTCAAAGTCAATAAACATACACACACTCATTCCTGTGGTTCTTTACAGTCAGTCCAGACTAAAGAGATTCTTAGGCAACGCAACTAATACTTTATTAAACTGTAATTCTCCAAAAGTAAATGAACAAAAGCACCACTTCAAATCTTGTGCCCACACATTTCTTCGAAATAAGTCAAATGGGTAGAAAAAGGTAATTCACTAAAGAAATCTGTGGCCTAATCAACTGAGCATGCAACTCAGGGGAATAAGGGTAACAATTTGGCAGTGTGCGGTTTAATGGGGGATTGACATGGCATACCTCCATTCTTAATAATGCTTTTTACTAGACAAAATACTGATGGTTTATCAATGGCATTAATAGGAGAGCTCAGCCAGTTTAATGAGAAGCTATACAGTCTGGATTAATAAGGCGTTCCTGTGATCCTATGATCCTTTGTATTCAGTGTCACATCTTGTGAGGGGCCCCAAATGGCCCTGCTATGCTCCTGTCAATGTAAATGTAACATCTCTGCAGAGAAGGATTTCAGAGAACTTTGATGCTGTGGGGTTGCCATCTCTGCACACTTTCATACTGTTCACAATATACCAATCTCCTCCCTTGACTGTCTGTCCTTTGTGCCAGAAATTAAGACAGACATCAAAACAATGAAGTAGGTTAACGAGGGGTTAGTAAAAAGACCTATATCAGTATGTGGGACACATATCCTAATCCTACTTTAAAGGGGAGTACTGCCAAGGCTATAGGGATTATTAGGGGTCAACATTTTACCGATAATAACCTTTGTGTTGTCTCTTGGCTGCTGTTCTTAAAAATCCATTATCCACACTGGATCCTTTTTCAGCCTTAAATTCTTTCTTTGGATAAGAGGGTGCACAGAACAGCCACAAAAACGAGCATCTGTAATCATTATGTTACCATGCAATCAGCCTGGTTTCCACCATGGCAACGGTTGTTAAGAGGAAAACATTTTCAGAGCTCTGTACACCCACATGGTACAATGGAAAACGCTGCCAACGAGGAGGCAAATCTGCAGTACTAAATATACATTATGCAACACATTGACAGTAACCAGGCGAAGCACGGGTGAATCAGTCCTATTCTAACATGAGGTGTGGTTTTCATTAAAGTACTCCTCATTTACATGTGTGCCGATGTTCCACTGCTTCAAACTCCTTAATTTGACTGCCAAACTGTTCGGGTAGTCTGCTCAAACTTTAGGAAACTGTTTCATTTACATGAGCAAGATGCTCTTTCTATAATCCTCCCGGACTTTTTTTGTATCGATTTGTTCCCATTTACAGCTGGTATTGCACCTCAGCTGTCAGAGGAGGGATCTCTCTGATCTCTCTTTGAACTATCTCTCTAAAGGGTCTCTCATGTGCTGAGGCTTTGTGTAGTTTCTCCCTGCATTGTTGGAGAGCAAAAACTTGCTTGGGAACCACGTTTGATGTGGGCCTGTAATGCCCATCATTATGCATTTGACAGCGAGTTTGAAACACATATCCACTCTCCTTTTATACTGGATTATTATAAAGCAAGTTTACCCTGTGGTGGAAGTGTTTGAACTTCTATGCAGAAGCATTCTGAAAAGAAAATGTGCTGTTGTGTGTGCCTGCTTTTTTAAGGTAATTATGATTTGCAGTATAATGAAGACTCAGAGTTAATGTTTGCTTTTAGGTGTTTATAAATTATATTAGCAGCTTATAATACAGCTCCATGTATTTAGTTTTAGTTTATATTAGATTTGTCATCACATGCATTTCAACAAAATGAAGATAAGCTCCCTACCAGAAGTATAAAGTACATAATAAAGGAGTGCATACTGTATGGACAAGTGGAGGCGCAGGTTCAAATCCCAATGCAGCCAGCATGCCGCTGTGTCCCTGGGCAAGACACTTCACCCCAAATTGCTCCTGTGGGGATTGCCCACAGTATTGAGTGTGTGTAAGTTGCTTTGGGTAAAACAGCATCTGACATGTAATGTAATGTATAAAGGAATCAACAGAGTGAATAGTAGATCTCAGAAAATGTTTATACATATGTTACCATTTAACTGTATAAACGTTGTGATGTGAAAACACTGAACAAGATGTTTTCAATATAAAAATGTGCATCACTTATTGATAATAAACTAATTTTTGTAATGTAAGTGTTAAAATGTTCATTTACAGTTGTAGCATGAGTTTCCTTCACAGTTTTCCCAAGTCGCACGTATCCTGATGGTTCACATTCTTTGGTTTCCTACAGCTGACAGGCAGGGACAGATATGGTAAACTGGAACATTCTCTAAAACAAGAATTCAAACCTATGTTTCACAAAACTCAAGACAAACATAATATTACCCTGTCAGGGTGGACTTAAAGGAATGTCATTTGGTTCTCCTGTAAAAAAACAAAGTTGTACAACGTTCTTTATGAATTGAGGAAAAAATGAAAAGACTTAAGGAAGAGGAAGTTAAAATTTCGAAAAAGTGATAGAGATAGATATGTATCCATAGTTATACACATCACCCCCACTTCATCAGCTATTCCACTCCCTAGTCACTCCCAAGCCTAACCTGTTCAACCTGTCTGTACCTGGGTGTCAGGAGTGGGTTGGTGACTTCTGTTGCAGTAGATTTCACCTCAGAGTAAGGAGGACACAGTATTTTATTGTGTTGGATATTTTATAAAATATAAAAGCTGTTTCCTTATTGTATTTCTTGTCTTTTTTAATAGGAGGAGTTAGACGCCATGGAGGCAGGCTGCACAGAGGACATCGAGTCTCTGATGGAAGACATGGACTACATCCCAGGCCACTTCCACCTGGACCTCAGTCTCAACTGTGATCCTGTGGGGCCTGTGAAGCTGAGACTCAGAGACACTTACCTGAAACAGGAGAGCCTGAGAGGGGAGCTGGAGGCTGAAGCTGGATATCTGCAGTACGCTGTCCGAAATCTGCTGGGTCTGCTGGCTTTCCACCTGGAACACTTTGACACAGCTGAGGAAATATTCAGGTGATCACACACTGCTTTTTTGTTGAAGGCAGAATATCCCTAACATTCACTAAGCAAGAGTTTTGAGTACATGATGATGATTGTTGTGACATGATTTCACTCCAGATCTTAACTAGTTATGTGTTTTATTCTGTCTCTAAAACAGAAATACAACACAGGTTACAATTTGTCTCACTACATATGCTTAATATCTGTGAGCTGACCAAGAAATACCACACTGCATGTGTTCACAGCAACATGAAAGCAGCACAAAGGCCAACCTCCCCTTTTACCTGCAATAGTCAAACATCAACCAAAGTCAAGACCCCCCTTTCATGAAGTCACGGTTGTTGACAGATTATGAATGTTATCCCCCAAATACAGAAATCTGCATACCAAACATGCTGTTAATATGACCACACACATATTTGACTTGTTTGGCCTTAGTAAAAATTAGGCATGATAAACAAAAGTACGAGTTCAAGAATAATGGATTTATTTCTTAATTTTGTCTTGTCACCTTCTGCAGAAAAAGACTGCTGCCCATGCTAACTACCCAATAACATGCGTAATAAACCGCAATGTTGTTCTAATGATTGAAATGTATATCCCTCCGATTAACTATTACTTCTCCTTTTTTTACCTTTTGTAGTTGGTATAGTACTCTCAAGCTTAAGATACTCATAACTTTGTATTTCACTAGTAAATTGTATTTTACTTGATTTTATCTTATCTATGCATCATTTTATGTACTTCCTCTTTGCTGCTACAGATCAGCCTATCCTGATACCTCAGTTCATTGGAATAACAAATGACCAGAGCCCATTGCATGCTAGCTTCTCTGTGACGC